TAGTTGGACGCGTCTTGGTGGGAGGGAACCCATGTTTCTGAACCCGTGTGGAGCTGCTATCCCTGCCACCATAGACACGTGGTTCCCTCAGAGGCTGGCTGAGAGTCAGAGCTTGGCTGACATCTGTAGGATGTGGCATCTCGTCCGTCACTCTTTGAGCTCCTCTGCAGTAGGTGATGTCTGGTGAGCAATCCCGTGAGACGTAAACATGCAGTTTAGTGTGATGGTTACATTGATCATTGATGGGCTCTGGAACCGGATTGCCTGGTCCAAATACCAGCTCTGCCAATCACCTATGGGATCTGGGGCAGGCCTTTCACTTCTGTTTCCTAGTCTTCTCTTCTATAAAATGAAGGAAATAAACACATCCACAATGTAGGGTTTTTTGAGGATTAATAAATTAATGTGTGTGAAATACTTAGAAGAGTGCCTGGTATAGCCTAAGTGATTTACAAATGTTTGCTATCGTGCCTTCTTCTCCTTCTCCCCACTCTTCTTCTTATCATTGTTATACTAAAAGTCAATATGAGTGGGACAAAGGGAGAGAGTAGCATGGAAACATATACACTAACATATGTAAAATAGACAGCCAGTGGGAATTTGCTATATGACTCGAGGAACTCAAACTGGAGCTCTGTGACAACTTAGAGGGATGGGATGGAGTGGGAGGTGGGAGGGAAGGGACATATGTATACCTACGGCCGATGTACATTGATGTATGGCAGAAACCGACACAATATTGTAATTATCCTTCAATTAAAAATAAATTAAAAAGCCAGTGTGTTTCTCTTTTTTTCCAGTTGTATTTCAAAAGATCCTCTTCTGTGATGGGACTAGGCCTTAGAAAGAGGGTAGTTATATACCATACCCAAAACTGGGAGTGGAAGAGAGGAAACAACTTTTATCAATAAAAGAAGCATTGGCAAGTCAATATGTAAAGTAATAGGAAAGACTATGATACTTTGTTAGGCTCTGGAATGTGTAGACATTAATTTGCTTAAAAGCACTAATGAATCTAGATAGTTAAGGGTGGAATTATAAATGATTTTTTCTGGTAAGCTTGATCATGAATGTATTAATCATTTGAATACTTAATGATTTATACGTTTGGAGAAAGACACTGGGAGGCTCCAGAACACTGTTAGCTTCTTCTCCAATTTTCATCATTATTTATTGTTTCTATTGTCAAGTGGAGAAAAAAGTCAAGGTACTCTTTTATTTTTAAAGATTATGTAATTGATATATTGCAATGTTTGGTTTAGTACATTGTGAAGAGGTTCATGACAAGTTAAAAAAATCAGGAGATAAAACGTTATGCATTTAAGAGCACTTTACGCATTTAAAACAAAACTAGAATTTTATTTCTAGTTTTATTTAGAGAAGAATTGAAATTCAAGAATAAACTCGGCATGTTGCCATAGGTGGAAGAGATAGGATCAATTAGCTGAATTTGATGGTTGGTTATTACTTGTATTCATGGCAGAAAGCGAAGAGGAACTGAAGAGCATCATGATGAGGATGAAAAAGGAGGGAAAAACCTGGCTTAAAATTCAACATTCAGAACACTAAGATCATGGCATCCAGTCTCATCCCTTCACGGCAAAATAGATGGGGAAAAAGTGGAAACAATGGCAGATTTTATTTTCTTGGGCTCCAAAATCATTGCAAACAGTGACTATAGTCATGAAATAAAAAGATGCTTGTTCCTTGGAAGAAAAGCTGTGACAAACCTAGACAACCTATTAAAAAGGAAAGACATCACTTTGCCAACAAAGGTCCGTATATTCGAAGCTATGGTTTTTCCAGTAGTCATGTATGGATGTGAGAGTTGGACTATAAGAAAGGCTGAGTGCTGAAGAATTGATGCTTTTGAACTGTGGTGCTGGAGAAGACTCTTGAGAATCCCTTGGACAGCAAGGAGGTCAAATCAGTCAATCCTAAAGGAAATCAACACTGAATATTCATTGGAAGGACTGATGCTGAAGCTGAAGCTCCAATATTTTGGCCACTTGATGTGAAGAGCTGACTCATAGGAAATGATCCTGATTCTGGGACAGATTGAAGGCAAGAGAAGGGGATGACAGGGGATCGGATGGTTGGATGGTATCACTGACTATCAACGAACATGAGTTCGAGCAAACTCTGGGAGATAGTGAAGGAAAGGGATTAGATTTAAGTTAAAATATATTGGCTTCCCCGGTGGCTCAGATGGTAAAGAGACTGCCTGCAATGCAGGAGTCCTGGGTTTGACCCTGGGTCAGGAAGATCCCCTGTAGAAGGAAATAGCAACCCACTTCAGTATTCTTGCTTGGGAAATCCCATGGACAGAGAAGTCTGGCGGGTTACAGTCCATGGGGTCACAAAGAGTCAGACACAACCAAGAGACTAACTCTAAGATATATTAACTTCATGTTGTGGTTTGGTTATATAAATGATTGCAATTCTTCTTTCCTGTATGCATGTGATTTTGCAAAGTGACCCTTGATTCTCCATCAAGAAGTAAAATCTATTCCCACTCCTTGTGATTTGTTTTAATAAAATGCACTGAACATGATGGTGTACCAGCTCCAAGCCTAGACGTTAAGAAGTCTTTCTCACTTCAGTCTCTTTGGAAACTTCTAACCACCATGTGAAAAGCTAAGCTAGACTGGCGGGGAATAAGAGGCTTTCTAAATGCCACATGGTCCAGTGGCCATGGGAATAGGTAGCCAGTCACCAGATATGTCAGTGGGACCATCCTGGATCAGGTAACCTGCAGAAGCAAAATTACCCAGATTTGTTCTGCAGCTGTTTGCAGCTGCAAGAGCAAGTCTGGCCAATATCAGAAGAACCAACTTGCTGAGCTCAGGCCAAATTATCTACTGTAGAACAGTATGAGAAGTAAATGGTAGTTGGTATTAGTTTTGGAGCAAGAGCTAACATTCACTGATCACTTTCTCTGTGCCAGGTACCATTCTTTTTTTTTTTTTCATTTATTTTTATTAGTTGGAGGCTAATTACTTTACATTATTGTAGTGGTTCTTATTATGGGCCAAAAAGACATACGGATGGCTAATAAACACATGAAAAGATGCTCAACATCACTCATTATCAGAGAAATGCAAATGAAAACCACAATGAGGTACCATTACACCACTCTAAGTGCTGTACAGTTATTGGCTCATTTCATCCTTGTAACAACCCTGTGATGGGGTTCCAGATGAAGGAAGGGGTCTAGGCCCTCTGTTGGTCACAGGCAGAAGTAAAATCTCAGCAAGACTCATTAACCTGTTCTCCTTCCCCCTCGTTGATGATGAAGCAAAGGCCAAGCTGGACAAAGCCAAATGTATTTACAGACCTTCTCATTGAGGTTTCTGTAAAGTGGGGTTGGCAAGTTTTTCTTATAAAGGGATAGATAGTAATTGTTTTAGGTTTTGCAGGCCTTCTCTGCACAACTGCTCAACTCTGTCCTTGTTGTGTGAAAGCGGTATGTAAACAAGTGAATCCAGGGCTCCAATTAAACAGGTGGTGGGCTGAATCTGGCCTGTGGGTCATGGTGTATTGAGGCCTCCCCTCCCAGAACTTAAGCTTTAATGACATAAGGCATCTATTGAATATAATAAATTAGCTTATCTTCTATGCATCTAGCATGTTCCCTAGGTACGTATCATCCTTGGGAGAACTGAGAAAATTTTTAGTAAGACTTAATTCTCTTGCAGAACCCCAGGAGAAAGAACCCCATGGTTGCTGGTTTTGTCTTGGATCTGGCTCTTCTTGTGGCTGTGGGTGACTGGTAGAGCATTGGCTGGTGTTTTTCACGTTTGCTTCCAATGGAAGGAAGGGATCCAGTCCCAGGAAAGTGGGGAGGGATTTTATTCCAGAAACCCAGCAGATTTCTCTTGGTGTCTCAGCTCAAATATGTCACCTACTCATTTGAAGCCCAGCCCTAGCAAGAGGATGGGATTGCGCTGATTGGCTGGAACTAATCAGGCCCTACCCACGAAACTGCAGTTGGATCAAGTTACTTAATGGTTACCTGATACCATTTCTAATTTGCTCTCTCACTTGTATTATAGTTTTCTGTACCTCAGAAATACCTTTTTTTCCCTCCAATGTTAAGCTTATTGCTCCATTGTTTTCTTGCTTCCAGCAGTGTTGATATGAAGTGTAATGTTAATCTAATTTTTGTTGTTTTGAAGTGTAATCTTTATTTCTTTATTTTGGAAGCTTAAAAACATCATTGTTCTTATTGTCAGACTTTATTACAATTTGACAAGGAGTTGGTCTTTTTATTTTTCATCCTGCTTGGTACTCAATGGATTCTTTCTACATATAGACATCATTTGCCTCAGGGAAATTTTCTGCCTTTTTAAATTTTTTAAAAATATTTCTATTCCTTAATCCTGTCCCTTCTCACCTTTTAGAATTTCTGTGGCATGGATATGAGGGCTTCTCTTCTCGTCTTTAATTGCTGTTATGGATTGAATTTGGCCCCTCTCCCCAAATTCGTATGTTAAAGTCTCAAACCCCAGTACTTCAGAATGTGACCTTGTTTGGGAATAGTGTTATTGCAGATATAATTAAAGATGAGGTCATATCTGACTAGTGTTCTTATAAGAAAGGGGAGTTCTGGACACAGATACATACAAGGGAACAACATCATGTGAATTTGAAGGCAGAGGTTTGGGCCATGCATCTATAAGCCGAGGAATACCAAAGGGCTTCCCAGATGGCACAGTTGTAAAGAATCTGCCTGCCCATGCCGGGGGTGCAGGAGGTGTGGGTTCAACACCTGGGTCAGGAAGATCCCCTGGAGTAGGAAATGGCCACCCACTCCAGTATCCTTTTTCCCCTCGACTCCAGTATTCTTGCCTGGAAAATTCCATGGACAGAGGAGCCTGGCAGCCTACAGTCTATGGGGTCACAAAGAGTCAGATGCAACTGAACACGCACGCCTGCCCGTACCAAAGGTTGCCAGGAAACCAACAGAAGCTAGAAGAGAGACACAGAACAGATTCTTCCTCAGAACCCTTAGAAGGAGTAACCTTGTCAATAATTTGATCTTGGAAGTCTAATTTCCGGCACTGAGGAGACTGTGGTACGTTATTACGTCACATGAGAAAAATAATACAACTCTGTTGATAGTCTCCATTTCTTTTGCTGTTTCACAGTGATACAGAATTCCTCAGTGTGCTCTCAGAACTCATTAATTTGCTCTACAACAATGTCCATTCGGTCTGTTATTTGACCATTTACATTTTCATTTCAAGATCTGATTACAGATCATTTGTTCCTATTACATGGGTTACAGCAAACACAGTTTTTCAAAGCTCTTTTCCTTTGAGATTTATTAGAAAGGATGGTATTCAGCTTTGAGCAACAGAAACCACAATAAACTGTAATTTAAGCAAGTAATAGATTTGTTTTCTCATGAATTAAAAAGTCCAGAAATGAGCATCCAGGGCTGTGATCCAAGGATTAGACACCTTCAATTATCTTATCTTACAGTTTTGAGTATGTGGACTTTATTTTATGGATGTAAGGGGTAGCTCTTGCGCTTCACAGCATAGGGTATGCATTTCAGGCCATAAGGGGAAAAGATTTATGTAATAAGAGGACAAGCAGAGGGGGTGAGTCACTTGAGATCCAGGTCTTCTGGAGGATGTGGTATTTGTGATGAGAAGTTTACCATCTCCAGGGGATTTTCCCAACCCAGGGATCGAACCCAGGTCTCCCACATTGTGGGCAGATTCTTTACCTCTGAGCCAACAGGGACGTCCTTATCACCTTATGACTGGGTGGCGTGAATAATACTATTGAGGCAGGGATTAGTATTATTTTTCATTTGAAACCTGATTTTAGAAATGTAGCTTTTTAAAACTCTTCCATGAATTTTTGGTCTTTTTTTTAAGAAATTTAAAACATGGATCCCTGGAAACATCTTTGCGTGTAGTACCTGAAAATATAGTTTTATTTTCTACATATATTTGTATTTTTAAAGAAGTTGCTCTTGATCAATTTTATTATTTTACTAGTTCATTGATTTCTGCTTTTATAAATTTCTTTCTTCTTATATTGATTCTTTTTGCATTGATTTAGCTTTTTCTTTGCTTCTTTAGTTAAATGTTTCTTTACTGTGAGCACTTTTTTTCTGTATAAAAGTTTAGTGGTATAAATTTCCTTCAGGTAACAGCTATGGTTGCTTTCAGACATTTCAGGATTGTGGTATTATTATTATTACTTAATGTTAAACATATGTAAGTGTTGATTTTCCTCTTTGACCTAAGAATTACTTTGGAAAATGACCTTTAATTAATTTCTAAGTGGTTAAATTTTCTTTCAGTTTCAAAACCTTAGCAATTTTTTTTTTTTGCATTGTGAATAAAGAAGTTGACTTAGACAGTTCTTGCTCTTTGAAATTTATTTAATATAAAAACTTTCTTTGTAGTATAATATGTGACAAACTTTTATATTTTTTTTCATAGGATTTGAAAAGTAAGTTGTATTGTCTAGAGTTGAGGGTTAGTTACCAGCACTGAAATGAAACTTACTAATGACAGAATTTAAATCACCTTTATCATTATTTTTGCCCAGTTGGTTTATGGAAAGTTAGAGTGTAAGTGAAATTGTTCTACTGTTATTAAATTTATGTGACTCTATTCTTGCCTTTTGAAATATACTTTTCTTTATATAAGGAAGGTTAATGGGAATAATATCTTTAATTTGAGTGATATTCTTCATCAGTATAAAACATTTGATTTCCCTTGAGTTATGTAAAAACACTTATGCAGCAGCAATTTTATTATGATAAACATTTTTTTGTAAAATTTTAAAATAATATAGACTTGCATAAGTGGAAGCCAAGATCTTGTTGCTCCAAGAATTTTATTCCCCTGATGTTCCATTATTAAAAGTCTGTTGTATGATCTTCCAGACTTTGAAAAGCCATGTATAGGTAATTATTTTTTCATATTATATAATCTATTTCTGAAATTCAATAATATGATATAGATAGCTGTGTCATTCTTTAATGGCTACCCATTACTTAATTTTATAAATTTACCCAGTTTATTTAACAATTCTCCTTTGAATGTCTTTAGGTTAGCAATTTTTTTTTGCTATTATAGACGACATTAGATCTTGAATTCTGTTTTTGTCTGATAATAATTTTATGAAACTCTACTCTCTGTTGTCAGTCTGATATAGCTTTGACATTCATTAAAAAAATACTGATTTTGGAAGCTTACAAATATGTTTTTCTTAAGTTCTCTGTTCAAATGTCACCTTATCCATGAGGACTTCCCTTAGCATGCTTTAAGAAATGGCTTTTCCCTCCCCGCCCTCCTCCACCTACTTATGTTTCTTTTTCCATGTTTAATTTTCCACATGATGTTTATCAACACTTAGCACTTGTTTATATATTTATTGTTATTGTTTGTTCCTTATTACCCCCTTTACACTAAAAGGTAAGCTCCATGAGGAGTGGAATTTTATGAGTACAGTCTTTGACAAAGCAAATGGATGTCGTGGGATCTACCTGCTGAGGAAGGATAGTAAATTGCCCACAGGTGGCGCTAGTGGTAAAGAACCCTGCTGCCAATGCAGGAGCCATAAAAGATGAGGGTTCAATCCCTGGGTTGGGAAGATCCCCTGGAGGCCGGCATGGCAACCTATTCCAGTATTCTTGCCTGAAGAATATCATGGACAGAGGAGCCTGGTGGGCTACAGTCCATAGGGTCGCAAACAGTTGGGCATGACTGGAGAGACTCAGCACACACGCTTGCTCCTTACCACCGGTAATCTTAACATGGTTCCTTGTACTGTAATTCCTTTCTGAACACACCAGTGAAGGATGTGAACGTAGCATCTTATCTTCTAAGTCTTAAATCATTGGCAACCTTGCTGGTGTTTTTTTTTTTTTTTTTTTGTAGTGTCAATGACAATACATGATGTTGCATTGAGGTTCATTTTTAAGAATATTTTTTCAAGCAGATTTGCTATGTTGTTGACTATCTGAGATCCGAGCATCTCTCAACAAGCTAGTAAGCCAGAAATGGTCAGTTCGGGGATTCCAGAAATGACCCTGGAGTGGGTATCTGGTGGTTTGGTCTTCTCAAACTTAAGAGTAAAGCCACAGGTTACATGGCATATTTTGAGCTGAATAGTGAGACCAGCTCACCAGTAGTGAGATGGCAGGATGGCATCACCTATGCAATGGACATGAACTTGGGCAAACTTCAGGAGGTGGTGAAGGACAGAGAGGCCTGGCATGCTGCAGTCCATGGGATTGCAAGGAGTCGGATATGGCTGGGCAACTAAACAACAACAGTGAGACCAACACTTAAACTTTACAACCTTAACAGTTTTTAACACAATAGTTTCAAAAAAATAAAGAGAAAAGTTATACAGCTAAAGAGACTCATGTATTCATTCAACAATTTTTTAAAGTGAAGATTTGCTGCATGCCAGGCATTATATTGCTTCAGTCATGTCTGACTCTGTGCAAATCCATGGACTCAGCCCACCAGGCTCCTCTGTTCATGGGATTCTCTAGGCAAGAATACTGTGGTGGGTTGTCATGCCCTTCTCCAGGGCATCTTCCCAACCCTGGGATTGAACCCACATCTTTTATGTCTCCTGCATTGGCAGGAGGGTTCTTTACCACTAGTGCTACCCATGGGCCACTTTCTATCCTTCCTCAGCAGATAGACACTATGACATCCAAGAGGTTTGGGAATTGCTTTGTCAAGTACTGTACTCATAAAAATAGTCAAATAAAATGGAGGAGCAGTTACTACATTTCTAAAAGTCTACTTGAACACAAAATAATACCAGCAAGCAGGACTTAGAATTAGTGGGTTTCCTGAGGGTAAAGCAGTTCATTTGCTGATGAACTGCATCCTGTTGAAGAAGTAGCCTAATGGACGAGCTTGATCCTGCAGGTATTTCAGCATGATACCTACTATAAGAATGCATTTCTTATGCTGCTCCAGGCGAGATGCTGAAATGGCTGTGCATCCAGTGAAAGCTAAGATTGCAAATAGAATTTCAGAGACTATTTTGAACATCAAATTCAGAGACTATCTTAAAAGTCAATTATGGTATTCTATTGCCACATTTTTAGATCCAAATTAAAGTAGTTAGTTCATGCATAAAATATTAAAAATAAAAAATAAGCGAGAGCAAAAAAATTTCCTTTGCTTCTGAAAATGTTCAGAAAGCATCTTCAAGCAAGGCACAGAGATTCTGTTTGTGAGGTGGCTTCAAAGAAATTGCATAATTACTGTTAACAAAAGCTTGAAGTCCAGAAGGTGCAGCAGAGACAAGACGACTTGAAACCAGTTGCTACTAGAGGGGAAGGGCAACATTATTAGCAGCAGTAGCCTATTCTGACTAGAGGTGGCAGAAAATATCTTCTTTTTTTGCTAACCTATCTGATATTGTCAGTGTGCGGTACATTGACCACACATAGGAGCAATTCAGCAGTCAACAGAGCCAGGAAATGTTTATTTCTGCACTATACTGCCAACATCACACATTTGAGAGGCAATATTTTAAGCAATAAGATTGAAAGAGTGAAGTCATGATTCAGTTTACTTTGTGGAAAAATTTTCAGATGTATCTTTGTCTCAAGAATTTCATTCTGTGATGGTGACTGTATCACAAATTGTGATCCCACCACAGATGGTGACCCCAGATTTGGTTTTGACTATATCTGAATATTAAGCTCAAACTTGGCCCTTCAGTATTGGGCACACATATGTATTTATTACATTTCTATTAACTTGTGAATAGATACAAAAGAACAGTCAGAATTCAAGCTATCTAGCACCTACCACCTGATTTAAGAAAAAGAACAACATGTTATTAATACTCAGTGCTTTCCTCATCCAGTCCTCTTTCCCCAGAGGTATCCACTCTTCTGAATTTTGTATTTATCAGTTTCTTACTTTTCTTTATAGCTTTATGATATATGTTAACATCTCTGAACAATATAGTCTTAGTTTTGCATGTTCTTATGTTATATAAGTAGAATTATGTTTTTGTTTTTCTGTAACCAAAATTGTTAACATTGTATTTGAGATTAATCCATGTTGT